GCTGGACAATCCCCGGCAGGAGGAAGCAGGAGAGAGCAAGTTTTCATCATCCTACTCAGAATGGTACACAATTTTAAACACATCAATCACTCATTTCTGGAATGTAATATTTAAGGGCTGATGTTGACGGGGAACTGCAGAAAGGGAAACAGCATATAAGGGGGAACTAACGGACAAGGAGGGTAGCACCAACTGGAAGAAGAGGAAGAGCATGACACTGGGAAAGAAGAGGTGCCAGGCGGAGCTGGGGCCAAGGGTATTGCAGGGAAAGAGGAATCTGTATGGAAAGGTGCTGAAACCAGAGAGCAACGGAAACTCTGGGTGATGAGAGCAATAGTCACCTCAGGTGGGCAGAAGTGAACACACAGGAAAGGCATGGGGCTATCGCGTCTCCAGTCCAGTGTACTCAGCCTTTGTCCTTTCATTTTTTTTATATTTTAAGAAATATTTATTAAGCCGCTACTTTTTTTTAAAGAATCTGAGTTAACATCATTAGTTAATGTCAAACACTGTGCCAACCACTTTGCATACATTCTCTCATTTCATTGTCTCAGTGAGCTTAGAGGAAGGTATTATCATTATTATCATCATCATCATTATTATTAATTTTACCTGTCTTACTTATTTTCTCATCACTGAGACACAATACCTAACACCCACCACTTAAAGAAGTAGAGGTTCACTTTGGATCATTTTTTAGGCCATGGTTGGCCAGCTCCAAGACAGGCAGCCATGGTGGAAAGGTCTAGGTGGAGGAAAGCAGCTCACATCATGGAGGCCAGGGAACAGCTGAGGGAGGAACTGGGGAAGGAAATACTCCATACCAGGCCCCGCCCCCAGGGACCCTCCTCTTCCAACCAGAGCCCACCTCCAGCAAGCCAGCAAACTACCTCATCCCCATAATTCAATCATCTTTCAAAGGTTCCACCTGTGAGTGCATGAGGTTTTGCGAGGACATCTAGATAAAAATAATACCCCATTTTATAGATGAGAAGATTGAAGATTTAAGAGAAGTTAAACAATTTGACCTCAGTATGATAGCCAGTAAGAAGTGAGCCAGGATTCAGAAAAGGCAACTATGGCCCACTGTTAATTACTACCCATGTTGTTTTTGTGAAAAATCTTACATATGGTTATTAAAAATTTTTTTTAATTGGTTGCTTAATGTCTCCCAAAATTTTGTGTTCATTTGGGACATATGAATGTAAACTTTTTTTGAAAATGGGGTATTTATAGAAGTTATCAAATTAAAATAAAGTCATACTGGATTAAGATGTTCTAGATCCAAGGACTATCTACTAAGTGCTATTTTTATTTTACAGAAAAGGGAAATGTGGACACACAATCACAAAGGAAGAAGGTTGTATGACAACAGAGATTGCAAATAATGCAGCTGTAAGCCAAGAAACACCAAGGATGGCCAGCAGCCACCAGATTCTAGGAGAGGGGCATGGGACAGATGAACAGCTCTCCCTCCGTGCCCCTGGAAGGAGCTAACCCTGCCAACACTTGGTTCCAAATGCTTTCCACACAATAGTTCCTTCTAAATCAAGGGTTCTCAGATTCCTAACTCCTTCCTGCCTGTGCTGTTAAGATGTGAACCCTCATGGCAGTTCTGACCGCCAGCCTCCTTCCTGACCAAAGGTCAGTCTCAATGGCTTCTCATGACCTGCTGACAAATGGAGGCCATCATACTTCTTGCTCAGATTTGACTATGAGTACATGGCCTGCTGCTCGGTTAAGGAAATAACATGCATGCCAGTGATTGGTATTAGTAATTTTGCTTTCAATAAATCCATGAAAAGGAAAGAAAGCAAGAACCAGGGAGAGTGACCTGATTAAACAGTAAGTGGAGGATGCTGAAGACTTCTGGGCACCATGAGAAGAGGAGGCCCTGGGTTTCTTCAGGAGACCCCCTCCTTTCTACGTGCCTCTAAATAAGCCCCTCGGCTCCCCCCCACCCAAGATGATATTCTGCTGCCCATGGCTCTTCCTCTGAGTTTCAAACTGCACCAAGAAACCAGGGTCACCCTAAGGCTCTGTCCAGAACCCCAGAATATGAGACCCGGAATGAACCTGCTAGGTCAGATTCTAGGCCAACCTCTGCATCTTGCAGATGAGAAAACCGGGCTCTCGAAAGAGGAGATGACTCGCCCCCAATCCACATCTAGCTAGAGGCAGACTGTGGGTGGAAATAGTGCTGCGTGGAATCTTCTTTCTAGCTCACTTCCACCCACTTCATGGCCTGAGAACCCCTCCACCCTTCAGGTCCCTTCTGGGGAGACATGGGCCCTGGGAAGCTCTCCTATGCCCCTTGTCCTGCTAGTTAAAGATCAAGGCGCTGGCCCCTCAGAAGGCACTGTCCCCTTGTACCAGACAGCCCATTAGAGGAGTGGAACCAGGCTGGGACCCTCGGGTTCCTCCACACAATGGGCAGCTTGAATGAGGATCATCACAGTGCTCTTTCCTTCTCCATGCCCAGAGCTTGGAAGGGTACAGTCCATGCAAAATCTAACTTACTAGGTCTCCGTCTTGATCGGCACCCACTACTCAGCCCTTACTCTGTCTAAACAGTGTCTAAACAACTAAGATTCTTGATCTCCACACTGCTCACTTCAACATGGACTGTTTTCTAAATGCTTTTGAGTTCCCAACTGGACCACGGATTCAGTAGCACATGTAGTTGATTGCTCCCAGAAGGCCCAGCACAGTGGTTCGTTCCCAGCCTTGATACATGCTGGTACCTCTGAGAAGCTTCAATCCTACTCCCCATGCATACATCTAGGCCACCCTCCTGGGAGTGAGATCTTGACATCAAATATTTTTAATTCCCCAGGTGATCCAGCCAAAATTAAGAAAACTTTTTCTAGAAAAATATTACACCAGAATCTACTCATTGTTTGCTGGTGTCATTGTGGGTAAGAAAGAGACACACGTGATGAGGAAGACAAAACTTAAAAAAATAAAGCCTAAGTCATAAGTTAGATAAAACCCTGAAGGCCATAATTAATGCTCTCTGCAACCTTCCCTTTAATCCTCCCACTCCCTGTGGCTGCTGTTCTTTGCCCTGACAACTCCGTTCCAATAGATAACAGTTTTGCTACATCCTGCTTTTAAAGGAGCCTGTTTCCCTTTCTTCACTGGTCCAAGGACACCTAGATGTGCTAAGTTACAAACTGTCACTGCTTAAATAATTGCCTTTGTTCTGCTTCTGTATAAAAGAAATCACATAGCTACTGCTTGGGGCTCAGAATTTGGAGTGGCAAACTCCTCTGAGCCCACTGGCATAATAAACCTTGGTTACCCTCCACCTCTCTGAGTGCCGCACAGTTTATTTATTCGTGCGCTGTTCTTATCGTTACACAGAGTGTCACAGAATAAATGAGAAAGAGGCTACTTGGCACTCTGTGGTCTGCATGCCTCACCCTCAGCCCTACTGACATTTGAGGCAGATAATTCTATGTTGTTGGCCCCCTGTGCACTGTAGAATGTTTATCCGCATCCATGAGGTGTGCCAGCCACTATAGTTGTGACAACCAAAAATGTCTCCAGACATTGTCAAATGTTCCCAGAGGTTGAAGAGCAAAATCACCCTGGGTGACAATTGCTGGTGTAGATCGGCCACCAAACAATTGTGTATGTATTTTAATCATCAGTTAGAAGTCACAAGACCGCTTTTCCAAACTGGACTGTGTGCCTGATGATCCTGTACACCAGGGATGAGCAGGACCAAGGGCTTTACAGACTAGGGTGGGAAATGGTTGAGGGGTCAGCAGTCAGTTCTGTGTCAGTGAGTCACAGAGAATCCAGGTCAGGCAGGCAAAAAGCCATTAAGAGGAGTAGGTGGCAGTCAGGCCTGTAAAAGACTGGAACAAGCAGAAAAGCAGCCAGAGCATCAGCAAAATTACAAAGGTGGAGGCAAGAAGAGTGTCGTGTCATGGAGGATTAGGACAGGTGGTGACCACAAGGTTAGAGAAAGGAGGGGAAGGACCCACAAAGCAGGGACTGGGGAGACAAAGTCTACCACAGCCTGCGGGCTGGCCTAGCAACAGGTGGAGGCAGGGACAGGAGGCAGGAAGTGGGGCTGCAACCTTCAAGCCTACCTGCTGCGGATGCCTACGACGCAACAAGGCTCTTACTCCACAGAGCTGGGTGCAGCAGCTTCACAGCCCCTTAGGGTTAGTGGCACCTGGCACAGCAGTGACTGCTTCCCAGGCCCTCGACCAGCTTCCCCTGACACCACACCCACAGCAAGGCCAGGTACACACCACCCCACCCCTGATTCCGGGCATCCCCTCCCTGTCTCTCCTTCCTAAACCTTTGCCCTCGCTCTGTGAAAGTCAGGACAGCTGCAGCCATGGGAGGAGTCGTACACTACGCAAGGGCCGCTGAGAGCTCACAGGGCAGAGGTGAACCCACGGACCAAAGTCAGAGGAACAAGATCAGGGCAGGCATCTGAGGCAGCTGAGCCCAGAGTCTTCTGGCCCAGGCAGATGGTCGCTCACATCAGCTCCCTTAGAACCATTCTGGGGGACCCTCAGCAGCCCACTTGGGGTCCCGGGACTCCCACTGGCCCCGCTATTTCTATCTTAAATACCCTGCTCACAATAAGTGAGTCTAGCTGGCACCTCCAGAAGAGAAAACACGTGTGCAAAGGGTACAATCGCAGGTAACTCATACCTGAGGCCTTCACAGGGCTCCCATCTCCCAGCCCGTGCTGGGACCAGCACCAGGTTAGCTCAGAATGAAAGAGCACATGCATTCATTCACAGAATAGAGAAGATTGGATACAGGACCTTCCCACTGAGCTACATCCTCAGGCCGTTTTTTATTTTATTTTTTGAGACAGGATCTTGCTAAGCTACTAAATTGCCTAGGCTGGGGTGAAATTTGCAGTCTTTCTGCCTCAGCCTCCTGGAGTCCTTCCAGTGGGTTAAGGTGTGCACTACCACAGCCAGCTAATAGCATTTTCTTCAACCCGGCCAGGGCCACACACTCACCCTCATTGGCTCGTCGGGAAATCCAGGCTTGCTCAGCCTGTCCTGTCTCCGGGACCTCAGGAGCCGTTTAGCCTCTTTTTCCTTCAGAATCGGGGAGCCCTCTGAAAAATGAAGGAAGGTCTTTAGGGTCACTCACACCTGAGCTTCTTGCTCCATCTCCATGACCCAACACAAAGGATTTGGAAGTAGAATTTTGTTGCTGTTGTCTGTTTGTTTGTATTTATTTTTCTGGTACCAGGGATCAAACTCAGGACCTTGCACTTGCCAGGCAGGTGCAATGCCACTGAGCTACATCCCCAGTCCTGGAAGTAGAATTGTGGTCAGAACACAAAAGTTCTTTCCCAGAGACCTGCCCCAAAGGGTGTGACATTCCTCACAGAGGAATTTTCAGTCCTTTCTCATAAGGCCAACAAACAAGGGTTTAACAAAAGCTACACAATTTAAATCTATTTACTTTTTGCAATGGCCCTTGCATTCCTTTACAAGTCAGCATTCATTTATTGACTGTGTTCCTTGAAACATATTTTTTCAGTTCTCTAGTCTGCGTTTCTCTTCCTTCAGTTCTGCTTTAATGGGATTTTCTTTTCTAACTTCTCAATAGACAAAATCAGGGGCCTGGGATGTAACTCAGTGGCATTGTGCCTGCCCAGCAAGGGCAAGGTCCTGAGTTCCATTCCCAGTATAAAGAAGGGGGAAAAAAAGAGCTTATTCAATAGACAAAATCAAATTTGAAGTTGTTCCTGGAAGATTCCCAGTCACAACATGATTACATTAAACTCAGTTGTCACAACACTTCTCAAAGAAGAAATTATGATAGTAGAATTAAACTATGATAATAGAATCACATGCAAATGCTAAAAGAATTAACATGGCAAAAGCATATCAGATTTTGGTGATCTATGAACCCTAAAGGAAGGTAGAGTTGAGGATTTAGCAGCATTTTTGACTGGTTGGTATTGGTGCTCCAATACATTTAAAGATTTTTTTAAAAAAATAATAATATGCCTGGGATTTAGCTCAGTGGTTCCACCTCCTGCCTCTCAAGCGCAAGGTCCTGAGTTCGATCTCTGGTACCAAAATAATAATAATAATAGTAATAGTAATAATAATAACAGCAACAACATACCCCTCATGATAGTAATCCTAGAACCCTGCTCTTAAGGAACAAAAGAAAAAGCACTGAAATATCTATGCAATATATACTACATATTATTTGAAATGAGAAAAGAAAGTACCAAATACCCTATTATTGCAGTTTATCATGTTGGCCTAGAAATAGGCTGTGCTTTTTGAGCCGGTTCCCACCTGTCCCAAAAGCCAGCCAGGTGAGGGTGACGAGGACCAGAGCAGCCAGTGTCCCCATCCTGCTGCCTGCTGTCTCCACCTTGGCGGCGGAATGACTTCTCTGGGCGGAGCCGGCCAGGCTGAGGACGCCACTGCAGGCTCACACTTGTTTATACTCCAACTAGCAGCACTGGCCCTGTGACACTAAGTGTGTGTGACTCTGTCTTCCCAGGAATGACTGCTAAAACGTTTTCCTCTGAATTCCTTGAATTTTTAATCCTGGGGAAGGAAATCTGACTTCCGGAAATGACTTTAAGCAGGCTGCATGCAATATCAGCATCATGTAGACAGAAAGATCCAATATGTTCTGGCAGTGGTTTCTGAGTGTTTGTTCATCCATAGCTTTTCATTTCACTGAGGTTTGGGGTTTCTTGTATTTTTGTCTTTTCTGAGACAGGATCTACTATGTGTAGTTCAGGCTGGCCTTGAACTCCTGGTGATCCTCCTGCCTCAGCCTCCCATGTGCTGGGATTACAGGCTGCACCACCACTCCCGGCTGATTTCACTATTAATCATCTCTTGCATTTGCATCTTCTGTGACATTTTTCCAAAGCCTATCCATCAGTCCAGTTTGAACCTTCCCGTTGCCCTCAATAATTTCAGAGGTAGGCAGGGCAACTAGCAAGAGGCATCATGAAGGGGGAAAGCGTTTTCTAGCTGACTTTGGAGCCAGAAAGACCAGAGTTCAAATCCCATCTTTGCCTCTTACTTGCAGGATGTCTTTAGGTAAGTCAGTTACTCCTTCTGAACTTGTGTTTTCTCCTCTGGGAAAAAAAGATAACAGTGCCTGCCTGTGGGGTATGCGAAGGTGGAGGGATGAGTTGTGGGCTCCATGTTAGCTGTGACCCTCTCACATCCATCTGCTTTGCACAGACAGGGAAAGTGAGGTCCAGAGATGTGTAATAAAGTTCAAGTTCACCCGCTGCGGATGCTGAAGGAGAGCTTACTAAGTCAGTCTTCTGTCTTCAAACTTACAACGAGTACTGGGTGTGGTGATGTACGCCTGTAATCCCAGCACTCAGGAGGCTGAGGCAGGAGGATCACCGCAAGTTCGAGGTCAGCCTGGACTACATGGGTATGGGAACCACCTTTTGGAGGTGGTGAAACCTTTAGGATGCGAGCCTCGGGAGAAGCCCAAGGTCAGTCACTACAACTGTACCCAGGAAAGGGGTTATGGGATCCAATCTCCTTCTTTTCTCTCTTTCACTCCCTGGCTGGTGATGAAGCTGTTTTACTCTACCACGCTCTCCTTGATGAGCCAGCCACCTTGCCACAGGCCCAAAACAATGGGTCCAACTGATCATGGACCAGAACCTCCCAAACTGTGTGAAGAAGCGTCCGTTCCTCTTTACAGTGCTTAGTGTAGAGACTCTCAATACGACTATAAGCCCCAGAACTCTAGAATAAGGCTATTTTCATAAAGATAAGAAAAATCTCAATATCCTGAAGTCCTCTTCAATTTATCTATAAATATCACATGAGCCAGGAATAGCGGTACACTGCTGTAATCGAGGCACTGCTTGGAAGGCTGAGGCGGGAGGATCGCAAGTTCTAGGCCAGCCTAGGCAACTTAGCCGCACCCTGTCTCAAAAATAAAAAGGGTTGAGGAATATAGCTTAGTGGTAGTGTCCTTGGGGTTGATCCTCAGTGCCAATCAATCAACCAATCAGTATCACATGATGATGTTATTAAATATATTACAAATAGATCAGGAAGGGATGCAGCATGTATTTGGATAAAGCTCTCTGGACAAATGAGCTGATGTTTCTGTGGCCACTTTGCCAGCTCCAAAGAAAAGAAAACCTGATCTGTAGTTGTCAGAGTTCATGCTAATGCTGTGTAACTGACACCAAACCAAAATGTTCTGCCCACTCAGTTGGTATAAAAATGTTCTGAGAAGATTGTAAACCAGACCAAAAAGAAAATCAAGCATTGTTAGCAAAGTTCCCCTACATGTTAATTCAATTTGGCCTTTGGTTTTATGCACTCCATGCTATTAAAATCCTCTGGTTTCCTATAGATTTCAAGAAGCAAGGAATTTTAGGACCATTATTTTAGGAATATATATATTTGTCACTTCAAAGTCTTGGGTTATGTGCATATTCATATTTTACATTCCTTTTCTAGAACACTATGTTGTTTTGTTATATCAGATAAACACCTTCCATGGGCCAGAAAAAGAAAATCTAATCCTAACTAGAAATTTCTAATGTGGACAATGTAAGTTGACTCTCAAAGTATTTTTTTCTTTTTTCTGTATTTTTTTTTATTTTTTTCCTCTTAAAAGTTTTTGTTAATTTAGAAATTTTTGTTGATATCAAGACTGTCCAATAAAATCATAATACAGATGCGAGCCACATAGATAATTCAGATTTTTCCAGCCAGGCATGATGGTAGCACACACCTGTAATCCCAGCTCTCAGGAGGCTGAAGCAGGAGGACTGCTGTGAGTTCAAGGCCAGCCTGAGCTACACAGCAAGACCCTGTCTCAAAAAACCACCCTCAAAAAACTTTCAAGTAGCCACTTTTTTATTTTTTTCTTTTATTTTTTTTCCTTAAATTCTTTTATTGGTACATTTTAGGTATACAATACATTTACATTTATCATTAGGAACTTGTACCTTTACATGAAGTAGCCACATTTTTGAAGGGTTGACAAAAAGATTAATTTTAAATATTTTTTTAACACAGTGAGTTATCCAAAATATTATTGCTTTTTTTTTTTTTTACGGTACCGGGGATCAAACTCGAGTCCTTTCACTTGTGAGGCAGGCAGTGGCACCACTGAGCTAGACCCCCTCACTACACACGACTGACTTTAGGGTGCTAAACACTTTTTGTGGCAAGTCTTCAAAATCCACTGTGCACCATGCACATTCACATTTTCAACGCTCAGCCGCCCCAGGGGGCTCATGGCTTCCATGCCAGATGACCAGGCCACTGTCTCCTCTCACCCACTTCTGCTCTGGGCTCCTGCTGGCCTCCCAGCTTCCCATCTGTCTCTCCAACTCATCCTCCATGCAGCAGCAATAATAATCTAATAATCATAAAACAGAAAAAAGCTCTTTCCTACCTCAGGACCTTTGCACATGCTCTTTTCATGATTGCATCCTTCTCATCCATCAGGTTTCAATTTGAAATCTCTCCCATTGGGGCAAGTCTGCCCTTCCTTACCTGCCTACTTAATCAAAGTTCCTCCCCCCAGGGCCACCACCATTGCTGTTCTCATAGAACTCACCATAATTTATTATGTATTTAAATTTTTTAATCGGTCTTCTCCATGGGACTATAGCTGTAAGTAAACTTGTGTCACTTTGCTAATGAGCCGGAGAAATGACACTGGGAACTAGTCTTGTATCGCACGCTGGGATGCTGGCACAACGTCTCAGTTGGAAAGATATCCCTCTGCTGTGATACTGGAAGTGCCTTTCAAATGCCCTTTAGCTTGGCCACTGGGGATACTGCCCCATAGCGGGGAGCTCTATTAAGAAGAAAGAACAAGGTCCTTGTGTGCAGTCACTCATACAGAGAATTCCTTGCTACCTCCTCCCCAATAAAGTAGCAGTTGGGCTCTCAGTAGAAGACGCAATTCCCAACAAATCCACAAGGTGGCAGAGAGAGTAGAGAGAAGAATCAGGGACACCCAAGGTCTGGCGAAACAAGCTCAAGGGCATCAAGGTTCACTAGTTGTCGCCGGGGGTCCCAGTGAATCCCTGGGAGTGAGCAGACTGGTGGGATCGTGCCTAAGTCTAAGACTAAGATGTTTTAGTGTGTGC